TCTCCTTTCTGTCCATTTCATTTCCTCCTAATTTCTGCATCTCTTGTTTATTTAGAGCTGAAGGGTTACTTAAAAATAAAATAAAAAAAAGTTTGAAAATGACAGCACATAGATTAGAATGCGAGGGGATATGTGGAGGAGGTGGGATCTTGGAATTCGCAAAGTGGGATGTGATATTGATGCAATGCAATGGAATTCTTATCCAATAGAGCGCTTACATATGTACAAGAGATAGAAATTAAATGCTACGTAACCCCAAAAATGAAAAGAAAAAAAAATACTTACTTAGGTCAATACATTACAGCTCAAGAAAAAGAAAATTAGTTTGCTTTACAAAAGCTAAGTATAAATGTATTAATTATCTTATCTTCAACTTATTATTTTGTATGTTTGTGTGTCATCATTTCATTTTAGTAGGTGAGGCCTAGCTGTTTAGACATATATAAATTCGCATTTTTTCTTGGGGCAGGAGAATAATTGATGCTGGACTTACAGCGTGACACGAGAGAGGGGAGAGGGACCATTGAAGAATATTGGTTTTGTGAATACATTATTTGTATTGGGTTCCTTTAATAGAGCTAAGACAATGACAAAATGGACAACTTAATTTTAACTAATCTGGTGGTTGAGTAGCCTTTTTTTATAGGCCCTCCCCTCCCAACTTGCTTTGTATTATTTTTGCACCATCATTTTTCTAATCATTTTAATATCCCTTCGAGTAATACCATTTTGATCCATATATTTTTAGTTATTTAGAGATTATTATACAAAAAAATAAGTGGACTAAAATAAACAAAAATTAAAAATAAAATGAACCAAATTTAAAAGTATAATGGCAAAAATAGTATTTCTTTAGAATTTTCTATAATCATTATCACTTCTAAAAGAGACGTTTGTTTTGTGTGGGATTTTTTTAAATGGATACCATGCTTGATATGATGGCAACGGTTAACTGTCTGTTGTGTGGCATATCTATCAAGGCTTCTTATCAATATCCTTCTTTATGGGCATATTCCAAATATTAGTAGGTTTTTTCAGCAAATAATTCCTCTTGTTATTACAGTAATGCTGAAGTTATTTGGTAAAAAATAAAGTTATATGTTATAATTCCTAATAGAAAGTTAAAGTTGTGTGAAAAGGAAAGTTTTGGAGATCCAACATCATCCTTGAAATAGGTAAGAAAAAAGGAGTGCCACAACTTTTAAAGGGGCCTCGCCTGGGTGGCGAGTGCCCTCCAGTCTAGCAAGATGCCCTAGAGATTGACGTGGATGGGACGTTGCTAGGTCACGCCTCGCTGGTCCAGTGGGATCCAGTGTTTTTGCCACCTCACCTCTGGGCTCCCCTTGCCTCACATTTATTATTCACCATTTCCGTGCTGGAGCTCTCTTTTTATTATTTGTAAAATCATATATTCAAATTTACTGGACCGGGAGGCGGGAGCCTCTTTTGTATTTGGGCCCACGTCAATTGTGATGCCCACTCTAACTGGACCAAATGACCGGCCCATTACAAGCCCAAATATCAAATGCAACGTGTTGCAGTTTTGATGTACAAATAAAACGAAATTAAAAATAGTGGAACCATTTGGAAACCCTACGTCCATTCCTCTAATATATATTTATTCAACCAAGGATCCTATGCATTTCAAAAAAATTAAAAAAATTAAAAAAAATCAAGGATTTAATATAATTTGTGGTATTTTTTGTGTTATTTTTTCTGCTCGTTTAAAAATTCAGCACCTATTACTATTTTAAAAGTTGATAGTTTGATCTTCCACTCCCAATTATTTAACTCAAAAATATATTATTTTTCATTCGTATTATTTACTACTTTTATAACATTTTCTATTATTTGTTACTTATTTATAACAATATTTAAAAGTGATATAAGTGGACGTTGATTGATATTTGAGAATTGGTAAGTTGGTGTGAAAAAAATTATTAATGGTTGATATACAAAATTTTGGGTGTTTTAGATGATGGATCCATTTATCCAAACTAAAATATTTTGAGTTGTTGGCTTCGTCCTTGGATCATTTAGTCATTTATTTGAATGTGTCAAATAAAACTTAGTCTCTAATATAAAAAATTTGTTCCGAAAATAAAGAATTCAACAAAAAGAAAACAAATTCGTTTATCTTCTTTTGTACATTAGAAAAACTTGTTTATTGTACTAAAAGAACAAAACAAAGAAAAACACACATTTATTGAAAATTTTAAATTTGTTTCATTTTGAAAAACAACTTATTTTAAATCATTACTTTGAGAAATTAATTTTAAAAACAAATCACCAAAATACATTTTGATTTTTTTTTCACAGTATTCATTTCAAACAAAAAAATGAAAATGAATGAACCAAACACAAAATTTGATTATAGACATATCTTTGTTTTTTTTTCTTTTTAATGAAAAGTTAAACTCCAATGATTAAACCAAAATGTAAAAGGAACATATATTTAGATTTGAAATTTTACCGTAGAAATGGTACACTAATACAATCACATGAGACCAACAAAAAATCATTCCCTGGCTTTTATGTGATTTAGATTTAGTATAATTTTTAAAACAAATAAAAATAAAAGAATTTTATCTAAAAAATGAATGATAGAGTAACTCCTTTTTACGAATGGTATTGGTAGCAATAGCATCAACGACGCGTAATTGGAGTCAATCTTGTTTCGTTGTTGATTCAGGCTCCGTGTTTTCCTCTGCCAGCGCGGATCCAGTAGTTCTATCACTCTCAAAATTCTTTACAATCTCTCCACGTGGCGTTCATTCATTGGTCCATGCGTCTCATTCCGCACTGTATTTTCAACCGCTTTATTATAATTAATAATTAATAATTAGAATTATACTGCAAGTGCACCGTCGGCCTGGATCTGTTCAGTATTCTGTTCTTCACTTGTCTATTCATTTTTGGCCTCACCGACTACGATTTCTGAGCCACATTCCCTTTTTCTTCAGAGATTCTTCCTCCCCATAAGCAATGGCGAAATCCGTTGCATTCTGTTGCCTTCTTCTGTTCGTTTCGCTGTTGATCAATGTCACTGTCTCTTTGGAACCACTCGATGTGACTGCGCCGGCGGGTGGTTCGCCTTC